GGGGGGGGGGGAGAGGCCTAGGCGGGGAGAGAAGTGCAGCAATGAATGAATGGAAATCCAAATTCTTTGTAAATGTTCATTTAAAAAAAACACCACAAAACAAAGTTGCAAATAGAGATACCATTCGACCCAGCAATTCCACTACTGGGAATATACCCCAAAGAGACCATAACTGACATCCAAGCAGACATATGCACACCCATGTTTATTGTAGCTTTGTTCACAACAGCAAGGAGTTGGAAACAACCTAAGGGACCATCGATAAACATATGGATAGAGAAGCTGTGGTATATTCACACAATGGAATACTATGCTGCATTTGAAAAACAAGGAAATCATGAAATATTATTCAAAATGGGTGACCCTGGAGGACATTATACTAAGTGAAGTATCTCAGTCACAAAAGTACAAATACTGCATGGTGCCACTGTTGTAAAATGGATTGACATCGGGGTTGGGGGAGACTGAGAAGATGGGTTCAGCAATGTATACTGCATTGAAACAGATGAGGGAGAAAACTGTTTAAAAGGGGTATGTGATTAGGTATTTTTGTCATGACAGGAGTCCAGAGCGAAGGCTGCATAGTAGAGTGGACCAGCGGGAGGGTTTGTAAAACAATGAAAGAATTTTTCTTTTAATTTTACAAGAGGGTAGTGTACTAGGGGGGACGGTTGGGAGGGCAGAAAAGTGTAATAATGAATGAATTGAAACCCAAAGTCCCTGTAAATTTTCATTGACATTACTAATAAATTTATAAAAAGAAACAAAAAAAAAAGATCACATGCACAAAAAAAGGTTGACAGATATTTACTGTGAAAGTGAAATTCTAAATTTTCTACAAAAACCAAATTTGAAAAAATACAGAATTAAAAACTGTGGATTGAAAGATGCCTATATTATTCTCCAGTCTCCCCATCCTCCTTATATAATAGACTTATATTAGGCTGGATTCTGTTGTTAGAGGTCATCAACTTGACTATGACTCATTGTGACACTATATACAACAGATTGAAACCTTCTGCTTTATACTGTGACATCTTCAGTATCTCCACCATGCTCAAGCCTATTAAGTCATTGTGTCAATTCATCACGTTGAGGATCTTCTCTTTTACTGATCTTCCTCTGCATCAAGTCTTTTTTCCAAAGACCTGCCCTTCCTGATTACATGCCCAAATTATGTGAGTAGTTTCAACATCCTTGCCTCTGAGAAGCACCTTTGTTGTACTTTCTCCAAGACGGAGTACTTCAGTTTCATCCTACTGTATGTTTACAAGCTATGTACAACAGGATGAAACTGTGCTATTTAATGTGCCATCCACAAAATCTTGGCTGTACTGAACTATATCTCTTCCTGCAGTTACTGTGTCAATCTACCTCGTTGAGGGTCATCCTCTATTTCATTTACCCTCTACTTTTCTTAGCATGATGTCCTTTTCCAGAGACTGTTTTTTTCTTGACATCATATTCCAAAGTATGTGAGACAAAGTCTCACCATAATTGCTTCTAAAGAGCACTTGAACTTCACTTCTTCCAAGATAGACTCGTTTGTTCTTTTGGCAGCCAATGCTCTATTCAATATTTTTAGCCAATACCAAAATTCTGAGGAATGAATTCTCATATAGTCCTCCTTATTTACTACCTAACTTTTGCATGCATATGAAAAAACAAAAGTACCATAGCTTGAGACAAATGCACTTTAAAGTGACAACCGTGATCTCTAGCATTTCCCCCCTCCTTTTAAAATTAATTTTACTGAAAGTTTACAGAGACTTTGAATTTCCATTCATTCACTGTTGCACTTTTCTCCCTGCTCAACCTCCCTCCTAGTTCACTCTTCTCTTTGAAAAGAACAATTCTTTCATTGTTATACAATCCCTCCCCTCAAGCGCACTCCACTATGCAGCCTTTGTTTTGAAAAGTAAAAGAAAAATTCTTTCACTGTTTATACAATCCCTCCCCTCAAGCCCACTCAACTATGAAGCCTTCATTCTGCATTCGTCATGACCATAATACCTAATCACATACCCCTTCTAAACAGTCCTCTAGGGGAGCTCTGGTGGCCTAGTGGCAAGAAGCTGCACTGTAATCCCAGAGGTACGCGGTTCGAATCCACCAGATGCTCTGCCGGAGAAGGAGGAGCAATATCCTCCTGTACCAGTCAGATCTGATTTGACGGTACACGCACACAAAATAATAAAAAAATTCAAAAAAAACAACACCACAAACAAAAAAACCCCCAACAGTCCTTTCCCTCATCTGTTACAATGCAGTGTACATTACTGAACCCATCTTTCTCAGTCTCCCCTCAACCCCTATGTCAGTCCATTTTACAAGTGGCATTATGCAGTATTTGTCCTTTTGTGACTGAGATACTTCACTCAGTATAACGTCCTCCAGGGTCACCCATTTTGAATAGTGTTTCATGAGTTCCTTGTTTTTCAAATGCAGCATAGTATTCCATTGTGTGAATATACCACAGCTTCTCTATCCATTTGTTTGTTGATGGGCACTTAGGTTGTTTCCAACTCTTTGCTATTGTAAACAAAGCCATGATAAACATTGGTGTGCATATAACTGCTTGGGTAGCAGTTATGGTTTCTTTGGGGTATATTCTAAGTAATGGGATTGCTGGGTCAAATGATATTTCTATTTGCAACTTTTTTTTTTTTTTGGCTGAGTACAGTGTATTTTGTTGCTGGTACATGACAAGATGGGCTTCTTTCTGAGTGTGTGGGAGGATCAAGTTGGTGCAAGGACTCCCCAGCAGCTGAGGGTCTCTCTCTCTCTCTTCTAGTGCTATTGCTGGGGCTGGTGGTCCAAGGGGCTCTTATTCTTTGGAAGCCATGTGAACCATTAGGTCAACCACCTGGTTGCTGTAGCCAAATTCACTGTCATTCCAGGAAATGAGTTTGACAAGTGGTTGTTCAGAGCAATGCCAGCCCCAGCATCAAAGGTGGATGAGTGGGTGTCACTGTTAAAGTCACAGGGTACAACCTTGTCTTCAGTGTATCCAAGGATGCCCTTGAGGGGCCCTTCTGATGCCTACTTTATTACTTTCTTTTTTATTTTATTTTATTATTATTTTGTGTGTCTGTGTACTGTCAAATCAGATCTGACTGGTACAGGAGGAGATTGTCCCTCCTTTCCCAGCAGAGCATCCGGTGGATTCGAATCATGCGCCTCTGGGATTGCAGTGCAGCTTCTTGCCACTAGGCTACCAGAGCTCCCCTTTACTACTTTCTTGATGTCATCATATTTGGCAGATTTCTCCAGACGGCAGATCAGGTCCACAACTGACACACTGGGGATGGGGACACGGAAAGCCATGCTGGTAAGTTTCCCATTCAGTTCAGGGATGACCTTGCCCATGGCCTTGGCAGTGCCAGTAGATGCAGGGATGATGTTCTGGGTAGCTCCATAGGCATCACGCCACAGCTTTCCAGAGAGGCCATCCACAGTCTTCTGGGTGGCAGTGATGGCATGGACTGTGGTCATGAGTCTCTCTACAATGCCGAAGTTGTCATGGATGACCTTGGCGAGGGGAGACAAGCAGTTGGTGGTGCAGGAGGCATTGCTGACAATCTTGAGAGTTGTGATACTTTTAATTGTTCACACTCATCACAAACATGGGGGCATCAGCAGAAGGAGCAGAGATGATTACCCGTTTGGCACCACCTTTCAAGTGAGCCCCAGCCTTCTCCAAGGTTGTGAAGACACCAGTGGACTCCACAACATACTCAGCACCAGCATCACCCCACTTGATATTGGTGGGATCTCACTCCTGGAAGATAGTGATGGCTTTCCCACTGATGACCAGCTTCCTATTTTCAGCCTTGACAGTGCCGATGAACTTGCCATGAGTGGAATCATATTGGAACATATAGACAAGGTAGTTGAGGTCAATGAAGGGATCATTTATGGTGACAACATCCACTTTGCCAGAGTTAAAAAGCAGCCCTGGCGCCCAATGCGGCCAAATCCGTTTACTCAGACCTACACCATCGTGTCTCAGGGATGCGGCTAAGGCTGCATGAGGAGAGAGGGCAATCTGGATCGACGAGGAGCAGACAGCCTATTTGCAACTTCCCCCCCCCCTTTTTAAATTAATTTCAATGAACATTTACAGAGATTTTGGATTTCCATTCATTCATTGTTGCACTTTTCTCCTCGCCGCAGTTGGCTACTTTTTGAGAGCAGACCATGCAGCCTTCCATAGTGGCTGCACCATTTTACACTCTCATCAACAGTGAATAAGGGTTCCAGTTTCTCCACAACCTCACCAGCATTTGATGTTTGCTGTTCTGTTAAATTTTGCTATTCTTACTGGGGTAAGATATCTGATAATTGTTTTGATTTGCATCTTAGAACTAGGGAGTTTGAACATTTCTTCAAGTGTTTGTTGGCCATCTGAATGTCTTCTTTGGTGAAGTATCTGTTCATATCCTGTGCTCATTTTTCAGTTGGGTTATTTATCTTGTTGTGGTGGCTCTAGCATTTTTAAGGCGTCTCTGGCAGCAGATTTGCCCAAAGCAAGACATCTTCTTTCTGTTCGATTTCTTGACCACTACATTCCACAACTGTTGATTGTGAAGCAATGTAAAATAAAATTATTAGCAACTTCAATTTTTTCCTCCATTTATCTCTGTGTTGCTCATTGCTCCAGAGAGGACAATTTGTTTTCTTTACAGTGAAATTTAATCTAGCCTGAAGTAATCATTTTCATCTGCTATAGCAAGTGTTCAAGTTCTCTTCAGTTTCAGTAAACAAGATTATACCATATGCACATTTTAGACTCTTTCGCCAATCTCAGTGCCATTGTTTTTTTTAATATAGTTCAGGTTTGGGTATTATTATTATTTGTTAGGCTTGAATTTTTTTAATACAAGGCTTGACTAACCATACTGAAAGGATACTATTCTGATACACACTTTTCCTGATTTTAAATGATATAGTGTTTCCTTGTTTACATAGACCAAGAAACTCTGGTTTCTTGATCTATGTAAAGGTCTACAAGAACACAATAAAACATTTTAGAATTATCATTCTTCTTAATGTTATGCAGAATATATTATGACTCACACAGTTGGATGCCTTTGCACAGTCAATAAAACACATGTCCTGGTATTCTTGGCTTTCACACAAAGTCTGACATCAGCAATGATACCGTTCATTTCACAACCTTTTCTGAATCTGGCTCAAATCTGTAAAGATGTACTGCTCCAGTTGTTTTAGAATAATCTTCAGCAAGATTTTATTCCCTGGTGATATTAATGATATATTACTTAATTTCTGCATTCTGTTGGATCAAGTTTTTTGTGGAATAGTCACAAGTATGGATCTTTTCCAGTACTTTGGCAAAGTCTTCCAAATTTCTTGGCATAAACAGTTAACACACATTCAGTGCTTCATCTGTTCACTGAAACACCTCAATTGGTATTTCGTCAATTTACCAACGCCTTCACTGTAACCTGTACTTCTTCCCTCAGTACTACTGGTTCTTGATCTTTTTTTTATTCCAAGTTCTTTATTAGTTTTATTTCTTGCGTTTCAAATACTCTTCAAAGACATTCTTGGCCTGGGATTCTTTGCCATAGTTCTTAACAACTACACAAATGCAACCAAGTACTTTGTGTGGCTTTCCCTCTTGGTCAATTTTGCAGAAGCCTACCCACTCCCCCAGTTTCTTATTATCATCCACCTTTATCAGGTTGATCAGGTGTTCAGCACATAGGGCCTCTACTAACTTGACATACATAGGCTCATTACAGTTGGATGCAAGCACACAAAGATGGGCTTGGCACTTGTCTAAGGCATTGCCAGCTTAGCATATTCCACTTGCTAGGCCACTGTGGATGAGGGCGGTCTTTAGCACCTCTGTAAAGTGGTATTAACATCATTACATCTCCAGCTGCAATGCCTTCCTTGGCCAAGGCTGTGGGTCATGGGTGGAGTGGAATCTTGAATGCAACCAGGCCTCCTCCTCTGCACAACTCTGTGTTGACTGGGAAACAGTGATCATATGCTACTTCTGTGTAGTTGTCATTTCATCTTTTTTAGATGTTTTCTGCATCATTCAATACTTTGACTACAGAGTACTTCCTTATTACAATTGAGGCTTGAATTTGTTCTTTGGTTCTTTCAATTTAAGAAATGTTAAGTGTATTCATCCTTTTTGGCTTTCTAACTATGTCTTTTCACAACTCAATATAGTCTTTGTTTTGTCTTCTTGAGCTAACTGAAATCTTCTGGTAAGTTCCAGTCACATATTAAATCTTTAAATGTTATTTATTATATACTAGTTAAAAGCCATAAGCACTTGTCTGTCAATTTGTCTTAGTGTATGTTGCTATAATGCTCCAGCATTGGTATGGAGTCATGGCATTGGTATTTCAAGCATCAGTAGATTCTCTGGACCAGGACAGACTAGGGAAAAGGATCGGCCATCTACTTATGAAAAATATCAGCTAGTAAAAACTGTATGAATAGTGGCATAATAGTGTCTGAGACGAGTCCGTCAGGTTGGAAGGCCATTCAAAATAAAACAGGGGGCGTGCTCTGGTGGCCCAGTGGCAAGAAGCTGCACTGCAATCCCAGAGGTGAGCGGTTCAAATTCACTAGATGCTCTGCTGGAGAAGGGGGGGACAGTCTCCTCCTGTACCAGTCAGATTTGATTTGATGGTATACACACAAAATAAATAAAACAAAACCCAAACAAAAAACTGGGAAAGAGCCACCTCCTAAAACAGCAGGTCAGAGAGAAAAGCTGCAATAATGGGCTCATACCTGGCAATGAGAATTGTGCAAGATTGAACAATGATTCATTTTGTTGTATGGGAGTATTACGAATTGGAACTAATTTAGCAGCTAACATTCAAAATCTAAACAAAACATTGCCCTAGGACTGTTGTTGTTATTATGTGCTGTTGAATTACAACTGAGTCATACCTGACCCTCCAGCCAGTTTCAAATGCTGTAATTGCATGTGAGGAGTTTGTCCATCTTTCTCCTATAGAACAACTGTAGTATTCAAACTACTCATCTTTGGGTTGGTAGCAGAACTCTGAATACCGCATATAAAAGTATGTACTATGTTAAGACCTACCAATCTAAAGACTTGAGTAACCTGCATCATCATACAAGTAGCATCCAAGGAGAAACCAGTTTTCATTGTTTTTATTCCAAAGTTAATCTTCTAATCAAAATTTCCATCTTTACAAACTAGGACAATCTAGCACTTGGATGTCTCTCCAAATTTAGGCAAGTATTTGTAAAATTATAAAGAGATGAACTAAGATGATCAATATTATAAAAAAAGATTGTACCCTACTTATGCATTTTTTCTTTTTGTCTCTCTCATAAATGAGGACAAGGGTGCATTAAAGTTGGTAATTACTGAGTAAGATAAAACGTAATGCATCAAGTTGATTCTGACTTATAGTGACACTCAGTTGGGTTTCTGAGGTTGTAAATCTTTATAGAAGAAAACTGTTCTTCTTTCATGGTTCAGATGGTGAATTTGAACCTCTCACCTTTTGGTTAGCAGCACATGTAACACTCCTTGTATAGGATAATGTAGTTTTAAAATTGTTAGGACATCCACCATTATATAAAGAAATATTATGTCCCAATTTTCCTCTGATATGATAACCTAAGGCCATGGTGTCCAAAACTAGTGTAACTTTTGCCATCACATGAAGAGCAATAAGAAATGAGATACCTATTAAAATCAGAATGTTTAGAAGTGAGACCTAAAACAAGGGTATACTCATTAACTTAAAAAGGTATCAATTAAGGGGAGCTCTAGTGGCCTAGTGGTAAGGAGCTGCAACTACAATCCCAGAGGCACACGGTACGAAGCCACCAGATGCTCTGCCGGGGAAGGAGGGACAATCTCCTCCTGTACCAGTCAGATCTGATTTGACGGTACACTCACACAAAAAGAATAAAATTTAAAAAAAGGTATCAATTAATCAAATAGCTATTTTTTTCCAAGAATATTATTTACTATTGTTCACTATATTTGATCCCATCCCAAAGAAAGGTGACCCAAAAGAGTGTGGAAACTATAGAACAATATGATTGATTTCACATGCAAGCAATATTCTACTGAAGATTATCCAAAAATGACTGGAACACCACATAGCAGAGAACTGCCAGAAGTCCAGGCTAGGTTTAGAAGGGGTTGTAGTACTAGGGATATTATAGCTGATGTGAGATGGATCGTAGCTGAAAGCAGAGAATACCAGAGGAATGTTTATCTGTGTTTCATTGACTATGAAAAGGCCTTTGGCTGTGTGGATCATAACAACTGTGGCTGACTC